TACTGTACAAAGTTTGATTTAACTGCTGCGTACTAGACTGACCCGAGCTTTGCGGAACACCGGTGATGAGTTTGCACTCGGGAATGTTAACTTTTGCATGCGCGTATTGGCATCCGCATTTGCAGCTGTCGCCCACGTTTGCCTGGCTCGTCTCGCGCACAACACTTCTCGGGACGCTGGGCGGAACGTGGCCACCTACCTGCGCAAACCGCTCGAACCCTACTGGGCCGCGCAGAGTAGGCGGAATAGGCGGAATAGGCGTAATAGGCGGAATAGGCGGAATAGGCCGAATAGGCGTAATAGGCGGATAAGGCGGAATAGGCCGAATAGGCAGATAAGGCGGATTAGGCGGAATAAGCCGAATAGGCGGATTAGGCGTTATCTGCTTTGGACAGCCGATAGTCAGCGCGCTAATTAGCGAGGGAAGCGCCACACTGTTCTTGATTTTTTTGCTGAACTCGATTCTCATAATGAAATTTACAAAACACGAAATTCATGTAGTTCTAAATGCGAAATGTGTCTCGCGAGATGCATATGCGAATTGACGCCAGATCCAAGTTGCGGGTTGTGTCATAACAATAGCTGCTAGCGCCAGCGACGGCAGCCTCACGGCTCCCGTGCAATATTTTAGATTCAGACCTCACAAGTGCTTGGTGATTCGACAGGTCGTGCCGACTATGACGAACTTCGTTTGCAGCTCTGAGTTTGTGCCGCGCAAACTGTTTGCAGCTGCACGCTAGCAAAGCAAGTCGGCCTGGAAGTATGCGAAGAAGCCGTGATGTCACCTGATTGCGGTGCCAGCGGTCAAATGTTTTGCTTAATTCGTTTCTCCTGGTTCATCAACCGACACTACTGACAGCAGACCACCTGCAGCTGGGTTTGAGCAGGACGCAGTTCGTAAGGTGACAATTCGACAGTTCTGAACTGTTAGCTGAGGTATTGTGTGATTATCTCCATGTTGCGTTTCAACATGCTCATCTATGCTTCAGTTTCCATTTTTTCTTGCTGTACAGCAGACCTCATTCTGTCCCGCTCAGTGAGCACTTCAACCTTCTCGACCAACCCCTTCTCAGTCTCGACTGGAGTTAGATCGCGCACCGTAGAAGCGCTCTTAATTTACTCTAATGATCCGAAGATGATACCGCGGCTGGGCAGCATAAACGTAGAATTATCCTTACGTCGACTCACGCGTTCGTATAGCACATTGCCATGATTGTCTAAGTATGTTCGCTAGATCTCCTTCACAAGATACTTCGGGACGCTAGGCGGAACGTGAACACGTTCATCCGCAAGCAGATTGAATCGCACTTCGCTTCGTGGAGAAGGCTAAGTGGGCGTTTTCTTCGCAGAATCGCCGACAATTAGCGCGCTAATTAGCGCGGGAAGCGCCACACTGTTCTTGATTAACCCACTGAACTCGATTCTCATAACGAAGTGTGAGAAACAGAAATTACAGCTGCTTCTAAAAGTGCTAAGTGTCTCGCGAGACGCGTATGCAAATCGACGATAACCCTCAAGTTGCGGGCTACACCACAATAATAGCTGCCAGCGACAGCAACTTTTGCGTCTAGGCTTCGTGTAGTCTTTGAGATTCGAATTTCACTAGCGCTTGGTGATTCGGCAGCTTCTGCCAACTGCGACCAGCATCCTTTGCAGCTCTGAGTTTGTGCTGCGTAGACGGTTCCGACTGCGCACGCGTGCTACAACAATCTTCGCAACTCGCCCTTGAGGTTTGCCAAGCTGCGAAACGACACTCCACTGCTATGGTTCACACTATTGTAGGCTTTTCCTTAGCTCGGCGTGCAATGCAGCCGTTTCTTCGTAACTTGAACGCTGGTACGCCATTCGTTTCGACTAAATTTAGAACATTGAAATCTACGCTGGTGTCAGCCACATTTTCGCTACCTGCGGCATTGTTATTTGCAAGCGCTCTAGCACATAAATCGCCATATTATCGTGGCGCCTGCATCGATTGTAGAACACTTTTAGTCTTCAGCAGAGTGCATGGTCCGGCATAATACAGCAGCCAGCATCGACCGAGCAAGATCTCTTCACAGGCGCTAATCATCTGTCGAGACGCATGTTTGTAACTCAGATGCGCATCAGTGACTTAGAACGATAAGGTCGCTCTGCACTTGTCCTTCAGATTATTTTTTTACACGTCAGTGGACTCAGAGCGCGTGCAGGCTAGGAGCTCGTTGCGAAACTCGTCTGTCTGGTTTAAGGCCAGCGTCCAGTTTTCAGACAGGCTGATGACTCCGAATTACGCTTTTTCAGCGGGCGTCGGAAGCGCATTCCGATAAACGACTATTTTCTTAGCAGCATTAGGAATGCTACGGTCTAATTTCAGCAAGCGCGCATCCTTTGCGCTGTCGCGGTGGTCGTCGACTGCTTGTTAGAGTCGTTCGGAAGCCACTGTGCGCTTGTATCCGGCCGTAATGATGCAGCGGGGGTGTCGGTCGTGGACTGCGTAAACCAGGAATTAGGCGCCGCGCGCGCAGCGGTGGCTGCCGCCGGGGGACTTACGACGACTCTGCTCGCTACACAGTCGTTTCCAGCGCTGGGACGCGTAGGAGTGGTCTCGTGCAATGTGCGTTCGCGGCCGGCGCCGGCGGCGTGCTGCGATTGATACGATTGCGCTATGTGTGGACGATGCGCTTCAACGCACGCCACGAGCGAAAGCGTCAGAGCGACATGGTTGAGGGCGGAACCGGTGCAAGGTCGAATTGAGACGTTCCTTCGTCTAGCGTTCCTCGATAGTCGACTGATGATTCAGCACGTCGAGTCTGCTTCCCGAGGTGTTATTCGTGCAGCTGGTTTCGTGAAGCTGTTCGGAACGCAGCTGGCGCAGGTTCGCGTGAGCACGGAACTGCGCATTGTAGTCAGAAGCCCGCGTCAGATCGTTTGGCTAACACGTCTGCGCGCCGTGTGGCTGTGTCGTGTGGCTGTGCCGTGTGGCTGTGCCGTGTGGCTGTGCCGTGTGGCTGTGCCGTGTGGCTGTGCCGCGGCGAATGACCTGCCTGCGTCTCTGTTCGCTGCTTTTCTGTGTCGGGCCAGAAGTTTTCCGGATGCGTGCAGCAAGAGAAAATTGGCGCTGCTGTCGTTTTTGCGCTGAGTCCCTTTTTACTATGCAGTCAAAAACGTGTAACGGTGCAGAGTTGTATCTACACGGACGAGTCGATCAGCGCTCGAGCGCCTTTCGTCGTGCTGCACAAAACGCTAGACTTGCGTTGCGCGCCGCGACTTCGTACTGAAGCGTGCGCGGTGCACGAGCGCAGCCGCGTCGCTATTTTGCATGTTTCTAAATAATCCGACTTCTTATTTGTATGGTGTTTAGTAGACAACCAGTCAACCTGCCGTCACTCGAGGAGCGCTTCGAGGTAAGTTTGGCGCGCGCGCACGCAGCGGTACACAGCGCTCTTCAAAATCCCGCCGGAGCGCTACCAGCAGCTGATCGAAGACTTGCGCGCGGACATCATCAAGCAGAAGAAGCATCATAAAAATCCGGAGCGGCCAGCAGCGACCACGAAGTGCTTGGACGCGTGCGTGAACAACTACGCGAGCGGTCGCGAGAAGGGCGCTTACTATGCCGTGGACTTCGGCGGAACGAACATCCGCGCGGTGCGCTGCCTACTCGACGGCAACCGAGGCTTCACGTTGGAGTCGGCCAAAGTCGACGCGCGCAGCGTTGAAGTGCGCGGTCTTAAGAAAGGGCTACTCGACCCCAAAGCGACCGCGACTGAACTGTTTGACGAAATGGCGAACGTGGTGCGCACGCTCATGGTCCGCGTCGGGGACATCCCTGCCGACTACGTGCGCGAGGAAGACGCAGAGCTGAAGCCCGTCGGGTTCACGTTTTCCTTCGGCACTGTGCAAACCACGCTGAACAGCGCCAGCTGCACCGGCTGGACCAAGGGGTGGGAAACGGGCATTGACTCGATCGATCCCGTGGTGCGCCCAGATGTGGACGTCTGTCTGCTGCTCGACCGCGCGTTCAAGCGCAAAAACGTGCCCGCGTACGTTTGCGCGATTTTGAACGACACCGTCGGCACTTTGCTCACGGGCTCGTACACTAAGCCGAAAGAGCTGCCGGACTGCATGATCGGGCTGATCCTCGGCACCGGGTTTAACATGTGCTTCTTCGATCCGACTGCCAAGAGCTTCGGCTACCAGGGGCGCATCATCAACGCGGAGTGCGGCGGCTTCTTGACCAACTTGCCTGCGAACATTATCGACATGGAGATCGATGACGCGTGTCCACCGCGGAACAAGCAACTGCTCGAAAAAATGATTGCTGGTCTGTTCATTCCAGAAATGGTCCGCCGCGCAATCTGCCGTGTCTTCGGCCCGCGCGCGCCTAAAAACGTCTGGTGGCACTACTCGCTTGCGACCACCTGCGTCTTCCGCATGGGCTGGGACGAAACGCCCGAGCTGAGCGTCGTGCGCCACAACCTCGAAACTTACTTCGACTGGGACATCAGCGAGATGCCTCTGCGCGAGCTGCAGATGGTCAAGGAGATCTGCCGGGTAGTCATCGACCGCTGCGCAGGGCTCGCAGCGAGCGCCATCATCGCAATCGCGTCTTTCACAGGCCGACTTACGCCAGCCTCCGACGGGCTGACCCTCGTGATCGACGGCAGCGTCTACACTAAAAATCCTGAATTTAAAGCAGAGCTGTTCCGCTGGCTCAGGACGCTGCTCGGCGAGGAGCTCAGCCAAATCATCAAAGTTCACGTTGCCTCGGACGGCAGCGGCGTCGGCGCCTGCATTCTCGCTGCGATCTGCGACAAGAAGTAATTCAGTGCTGCGCCGTTCGTTTGTCGCGCGAGTAAAAGTCATTTAGTGTCTCCGTCTTGATTTTCTTGAGCATCGATTCCGGGAACGTGCGCAACAGGTCCCAGGCTATGTCTAGCGACTCATAAATCGAACGGTTCTCATTCTTCGCCTGCCGTAAAAACTTTTGTTCGAACTTCTCGAGAAACTCTAGGTAGAGCAGGTCCTCACTCGACAGCGCTTCTTCCCCGATCACGGACTTCATCGTGCGCACGTCCTCTGCGTACGCGTAGTTCGCGTACAGCTGATCGTTCACCTGCGGGTGGTCGACACGTGTGTACTTCTCGCCAATGCCCGACTTCATCAGCCGCGACAGCGAAGGCAGTGCATTGATCGGCGGGTAGATGTGTCGATTGTGCAGGGTGCGATCTACGAAAATCTGTCCCTCCGTGATGTAGCCCGTCAAGTCCGGCACGGGGTGCGTGATGTCGTCGTTCGGCATCGTTACCACGGGAAACTGCGTCAGACTGCCCACCCGCCCTTCGATGCGCCCTGCGCGCTCGTAGATCGAAGACAGGTCTGTGTACATGTACCCGGGGTAGCCGCGGCGACCGGGCACCTCTTCGCGCGCCGCGGAAACCTCGCGCAGCGCGTCCGTGTAGCTCGTCATGTCCGTCATGATCGTCAGCACATGCATGTCGCGCTCGTAGGCCAAGTACTCTGCCGCCGTTAAGGCCATGCGCGGCGTGATGATCCGCTCGACTGTTGAGTCGTTCGCGTGGTTTAGAAACAGCACCACGCGGTCCATCGCGCCGCTTTTTTCGAAGTCTTGGCGAAAAAACCGCGCGGTCTCGAGTGTGATGCCCATCGCGCCGAACACCACCACGAAATTGTCTTCGTGGTGGTCCGCAGTGTCTTTTCCCGCAACCAACTGCGCCTGCCGACAGATTTGCGCGGCGATCTCGTTGTGCGGCAGCCCCGATCCGCTGAACAGCGGTAGTTTCTGCCCGCGGATCACGCTGTTCATCACGTCGATGGTGGAAATGCCCGTCTGCAGCATTTCGCGCGGAAACGCGCGACACGCCGGGTTGATCGACGACCCGTCGATCGGCAAATAATCGTCTGCGACAATCGGCGGGCCGCTATCCATCGGCGCGCCGCTACCGCTGAATGCGCGCCCGAGGATGTTTTCGCTCACCGGCATCCGCATGATGTCGCCCGTGAACTGTACGCGCGTCAAGTCGGTGTCGATTCCGGTTGTTCCTTCAAACACTTGCACAACGGCCTTGCGCCCTGAGATTTCCAGGACTTTGCCGGTCTTTAGCGAGCCGTCCGGCAACGTGATCTTCACGATTTCCTCACTCATGACGTTCTTGACGTTGTCGAGGATGATGAGCGGTCCTTGCACAGCTGCAGTTGAGCCGACGCAAACGTACTTTCAACGGTTTGGCTCGAAATGTGCGGAACGACGAAGCTTTGCAACGTTTTGCCGAAGCTAGACATGATCGCCAAGTCTACAGCGATCGCCCGAACTGATCAATTATAATTATATTTATATTGATTCGAGGAAAACTCTTAGATGGCCTATTGACTCATTCAGTTCAGACGCGGCTTTGCGCGGCTACGCGCCGTCGAGCGTCGCACACAAAACCGCTGCGGAGAAACCTGCTCCGCGGTTGTTGCACAGCAATCCGCTTGAAACGCACACACAGGGGCCGGCTCGCACACCGACTAGCGCGCACTAACCGCAGCGCAAACAAAACTGCACGCGAACGGCGCAGCAGCTTCTACGGCTTGGTGCCCGGGAACGGCCCTGGCGAGTCAGGCAGCGGTGCTGGCTTCGCAGTTTGCACTGGTTCGCCGGCCCACGCGACACGCGCGCCGTCCTTGAATGTTCCCACCCGACTCAGTCCGTCGGCCTGGATGATCGTAACTTCGCCGTCCAGCGCGCCCTTCACGAAGTTGCCGTGCGCCTGCTTGCCATCGGCGTACTGCAGTATCCCCTTGCCGTGCGGCACGCTGTCCGCAAACTCGCCTTGGTACACCTGCTTCGTCGGCCACCATTCAGTGCCCTGGCCGTGCATCTGTGTGCGGACCCACTGTCCGCGGTAAATCTTGCCGCTCGGCCACCAGTACGTGCCGTCTCCGTGGATTTGTCCGTCGGCGAACGTGCCCAAGTAATGCTCGTTGTCGTACGTGGTCAGCCGACCGAGTCCGCAACGCACGCCGTTCTCGTAGTGGCCGATAAACACGTTTCCACTGCTGCGAATCTCTTTGCCGACACCCGTCTTGCGACCTTTCTCAAACGTTCCGATGCTCACGCTGCCATCTTCAAAGTCGTAGCGACCGAATCCGTCCGAGCAGCTTCCTTCGTACTCGCCGATGTAGCGCGTGCCTTTCGCAGTAGTTACGATGCCGACGCCGTTCGGAACGTTGTCCTTGAACGTGCCCAAGTAAACCCCGCCGTCCGGAAAAGTCAGCCTGCCTACGCCGTGCATCTGCGAATTGACCCACTGGCCTTCGTATGTATAGCCGTTCTTCAAGTCGATCAGCTCGCAGTCCTCAGGGATTTTGAGCGAGTCGGGCGGAAACGGAAAGTCGGGAAACGTGTCCTGCACTTCCTCGGGCAGTCCCGCTATCGGTTCGTAGTTGTCTTTGCGTCGCTGCACGATCGGCACAGCGCACTCCGAGCTCTCTGCACTACCGCTCTGGAACGAGCGCGTTACGTCTGCGTTCTGTGCGGCCGCCTCGGCGCCGAGAGCCGCAGCTGGCTCGGAGCCATTGCGCAGCGTCAACACGCCCGCCTCAACAGACGAGGGCTACAGCGCAAGAGAAGCGTACTTACCACTGCTGGCCTCCTGGCCGCCGTATTTTTTGAGCAACACGACCCCGGCATTTACTGCGATTTTTCCGTAAATCTGCTTATCATTAAAAGCGCAACGTGGAGCAACGTGCACCTCGTCCCGCAGTTAGTCACACATTGCAGAGTCCTTCTTCTGACGATAGCTGTTGACAAAGGCATTAATCATTTCGGTTTTCCACGGGCAACTGTTCGGTATTTGCAGTGGTTTGTGCGACTTGTGCCGCTTCAGCGACTTCGACACTTTTCGGATCTTTCTGTGGTGCTCCTTCACCTTTTTCGCAATGTTGTACTTCGTCCCTAGCGGCTGCCGCTTCGACTTGCCTGCTTGGCGCGCGACTCAACTTACCACTCAGCTTCACCATCTCCCTATTTATGTAAAAAGAATCCCAAATTTAAGGTCCTCTCCTTAAGCCTTCGAAAGCGCTTCGCTCTCGCGTGATGCTGTACAGCTTCGTCGTCTACAACGGCTCTTCAGAGCTGTGTTATCAAAAAGCGCTGCTACTTTTCAAGCGAGTCGCTGCGCGACTGCAGAGTGCGCTGCCTGGCGAGTTGGCAGAGCTCATCGCGTTTTGCCGTAACCAGGTGCTGCTTGGTCCACGGATTTCGCTTTGGCTCGTCGACCTCTGCAGCTTTGTCGCTGCGGCGCTCAACCGGTGCTTTCGGAACGGTCCGATCTCCGTTTGTTTTTTACTCGAGAGTGATGAAACGGGTTCGCTGGCCGCTGACGAAACTAGCGCGCTGCAGCGTTTCACAACCTTGCTGCAGACGGCTCCGCAGTTGCTAAAAGCAGACAACGAACTGCGTTTTCAGATCCTCGGCTGCGGGCCGCGCGGCAATGACTCGAGTGCATTTTGCAGCGCACAGATCGCGCTTTCCAGACTGCTGAAATCGCTGAGCTTCCGACCGGTGGCGCGGCTCGTGACTGCAGACCTCGCGAGCTTCGAGACGGGCGACTGGAAAGTGAGTTCGCGGCTCGACGACTTCGAAGTCTTCGTACTTGGCCGCGCGGCCGTGCTGCAGCCGCCATCCGCCGACGACGTGCTCGAGCCGGCCGTTTTGGACGGCTTTGAGCAGCCGAATGTGTGCAGTTCCGGTGAGCAGTCGATGGTGACTGCACACTTGCGCGCGACGCTTGAGCGCCAGGGCTACCGCATTGTCGGCAGCCACAGCGCAGTTAAGCTGTGCCGCTGGACAAAGCACCAGCTGCGCGGCCGCGGAGGCTGCTACAAGCACACGTTTTACGGCATCGAGAGCCACCGCTGCATGGAGTTCACCTGTTGCCTCGCTTGCGCCAATAGGTGCGTCTTTTGTTGGCGCCATCAGAAAAACCCAGTCGCAACGGCTTGGAACTGGCAAATGGACGACCCGCAGCACATTGTAGAGCAGGCTGTGCGTGAGCAACAGGAAATGTTGCAAATTTTTAAAGGTGCGCCCGATGTGGCCAAGCACGAGAAAGTGCTTGAGGCGTGCGCTGTCGCGCATTGCGCGCTGAGTCTCGTCGGCGAGCCCGTTCTCTACCCGCGCATCCAGGAGCTGCTCGATCAGCTGCACTCTCGGCGAATCAGCACCTTTTTGGTCAACAACGGACAGTTTCCCGACCAACTCGACGCAATTCAGCGCGTAACGCAGCTGTACCTCTCTGTCGACGCCGCGGACCCCGCGACGCTCAAAGCGCTGGGAAGACCCGTTTTCGTGGACTACTGGCAGCGGCTGCTCGCGAGCGTCGCGAAACTCGCGACGAACCCCAATCGCACCGTGTTCCGACTGACGCATATCAAGGGCGGCAATGACGCCGATCCTTCCGGCTACGCGGAGCTCATGAAGCTCGGACAGCCTTCTTTCGTCGAATTCAAAGGCGTGACTTTTACCGGCGTGGGCTGCGGCGTTTCAATGGCCAACGTGCCGCGCTTCGACGAGACGCAGGCGTTCGCACGCGCTGTTCTCGCCGCGTATAACGCGCAGCGCGCGGCTGCGTCTGCGCTGCCTGTGTACGAAGTTGCTGCGGTTCACCAACACTCAGTCTCGGTCCTGCTCGCACAGACTAAGTACTTTTTCGATGGCGCGTGGCACACGTGGATCGACTACGATCGCTACTTCGAGCTGCTCGCGCGCGGAGACGCGACTATCGACGAATTATCGTATAGTGCACCCACGCCAATTTGGGCTTTGGAAACTGCACCGGAGCAAGGCTTCGACCCTTCGCAAACTCGGCATCACCGGAACAAACTGCGCACTGCGGTCGCTTGTTCCGAAACCTGCAGCTGTTGGTGAACTCGGACGCGTCTGCCGACCCGCCAGACTGCGCGCAAGACCACGCGCGCGGCAGCGCGACGGACTGCGTCGAACGGCTGCTGAGCCTGGACCTCGACCCAGAAACTGCGCAGCTCGTGCAACAACTCGCTGCGGAGAACGCAGCGCTCCGCGCTCTGAACGAGGCGCTGCACTCAAACGCTCACGTATACACACAACTCCTGTTGCGTTTGAAACGCTGCACGTGCGGCTGTGCCGCGGCGGCGCCGCACTCCGCGGCTAGGAAGCCGCAAAACAGAAAGAATCTATGGTCCAAAATTAAGCTCAGCACTTTTTTGCACGGAATACCAAAATAATTTTGTGGAAAACATTAATTCGTCGGAAATGCCAGTTGTTGACGCCACGCGAATTCAATATGCTTGCAATGTTTGCAGCTGGATCGGCTTCGTCGGCAGTCTGTTGACGTTCATCCTAGGCTTGGTGCACATCGTGAATCTCGCCCCGAGGATAGATCTCAAAAGTCGCAAGTCCGCCATCGACGACGTACAAGCCGCGTCCTGGCGTCAGAAGACGTTTTCCTTCGACCCCGCCGTGTTCTTCGACGCGTGGACGCCCCTCTTGTTCGGCTGCATCGGCATGCACGCGCACGTCAAAGACTCGGTGTTCAGCCGCTGGATTTGCAAAAGCTACAGCGTCTACTTCGTAAGTTGCGCGCGCCCGAACGCAGTTTTTCTGTGCATTTGAGTTTGCCTTTGCGACCGTGGCCTACTGCGGCCTACTCGGCGTGATTTTCTCCGTGCCAGTCATCGTCGCCTGCGTCATGAGCGGCATCCTTGGCCAGTTCTCCAACTGCAGTGCGTCACTCAACCTCAACCCAAATCTCTCGTACTACTCCCAACGCGAACCAGAAGCCGTCTAAGTGTCAGTCCCCGCGCGAAACGAGTTGAGAGCTACGAGTCATCGCCACTTGGAATTGTCGCGCAGTAGTCAATTTTTCCGGAATCTCCACGTTTACAAAACACTTAATCAGCGGGAACAACTTTGCACAGTTCGCTAACGCGATCTGTTCGCAGCGCTGGTCCCCGACGCTGAAAACCGCGTCGGGCTTGCAGTGCGCTTGCGCTGCCTGCAGCGCTGCGAAGAACACGCACGTCTTGTACTTGGCCAGATCCGCGTTCGCGCCCACGCCGCAGTGCGCGTCGTGCACGCTCAGCACGCTGACGCCGTGGTTTCGCAAGAAAGCGGCGACGCCTGGGTAGTAGTTGCTGCAGCAATACTGCACCCACTGCTGCGTGGCACTGGTGACTACAAACGCCGCCCCGCGACGCACGTCTAGCGATTGCAGAAAGTCTAGCGCGTTCTGCTCGATCATGCGGAACTCCACGCGCTCCAGCGTAGTCCATTGCGAAAAGGGCGGAAAGCGGCGTCGACCCTCCGTCGCCGCGTTCCCGCGTGAGTCATTGCGTGTTCTGCTGCGCGCTTCCACGCGCCCAGCTACTTCTAGCAGCAGCGAAGACGGAAACAGAGTGTCGTCCCAGTCCAGGAAATAGACGCGACACGATTCGGCCGTTGGCGACTGCGTTAACGACCAACTCGCAGAGCAGTCGGAGCAGACCGTAGTCGCGGCGTCGCAGCTTATCGGCTCGCCCGCCGGGCACCCCCCCCCG